AATATCATAAGTAAAAAGAGAAACAGTCTAAGATAAATAATTGAATAATATTAATGTAAGTGCAATCCGGTGGCAGGAAATATGTCACACATGATGAATATCTGTGAAAACAAGGGAATAAAGAATGCCCTCTTCATTTTTATATATAACTTAAAAAAATTAGTTCAATTGTTCATATTTGAACAAAATACACCTACCATCTGACTTACGACCTGCTCGACTTACGATCACTCGGCTTATGACCACTCGACTTACGACCACTCGACTTATGACCACTCGACTTACGACCACTCGACTTACGACCATGTTTTTTTGCCAAATTTTTGGGAAATAAACAACTATTTGTGTTGTACACAGTGTTTATCCTAAACCTTACAGTATAAAATACAGTACTAACAGCATAAAAAGTAAAGTAAAACATGAAATACCACAGTAAAACAATAAAATAAAGTCATTACAAAAATGTGATGTTGATATTCAGTAGTACAGTTCGACTTATGACCATTTCAACTTACGACCAGTTTCTCGGAACCGAACTCGGTCATGAGTCGGATGGTAGGTGTATAATACAGTGATCCCTCGATAATTGTAAGGCACGATAGACGTAATTTTCAATAATCGTAACGTTATTTTCGTCAAAACATTGGCTCGCGAATCGTTGTTCATCCAGGACGCGTACACATGGCTCCGAGCCACCTCGCCCTCCCTTCCCAGCCAGTGTGCCATTGTTTACCAGTGAGTGACGGTCCCCTCATAATATTCCATTCATTTTAGTGCGTGCAACTGCTAAATAAGCTACCATGGCTCCAAAGAAACCTCCTAGTGCCAGGCCTTTGGTACAGAAGGTCAGAAATACGATTGAATTCAAGAAAAACATCATTGAACAATATGAAAGTGGCGTAAGTGTGGCCAAACTGGCCAGGATGTATAACAAACCCCATACAACCATAGCTTCCCTCGTGGCCAATAAAAAGGAAATCAAGGAAGCTGTTGTTGCAAAGGGGGTAAATATGCTGACAAAAATGAGATCACCAGTGCTGAGAAGTTATTATTGGTGTGGATAAAGAATTAAGAGTAAGACGGAGAATAGGATAGCAGATGAACAAGGAGGCTTTAGGAAAGGTAGGGCGTGTGTGGACCCTGTTTACAGTGAAACATATAAGTGAACAGTATTTAGATAAGGCTAAAGAAGTCTTTGTGGCATTTATGGATTTGGAAAAGGCGTATGACAGGGTGGATAGGGGGGCAATGTGGCAGATGTTGCAAGTGTATGGTGTAGGAGGTAGGTTACTGAAAGCAGTGAAGAGTTTTTACGAGGATAGTGTGGCTCAAGTTAGAGTATGTAGGAAAGAGGGAAATTTTTTCCCAGTAAAAGTAGGCCTTAGACAAGGATGTGTGATGTCACCGTGGTTGTTTAATATATTTTTTAGATGGGGTTGTAAGAGAAGTAAATGCGAGGGTCTTTGGGAAGAGGCGTGGAGTTAAAAGATAAAGAAACACACACAAATGGGAGTTGTCACAGCTGCTCTTTGCTGATGCAACTGTGCTCTTGGGAGATTCTGAAGAGAACTTGCAGAGATTGGGGGATGAATTTGGTAGGGTGTGCAAAAGAAGAAAAAATTAAAGGGGGAATAAAAAAAAGAGTAAGGTTATGAGGATAACAAAAAGATTAGGTGATGAAAGATTGAATATCAGATTGGAGGGAGAGAGTATGGGGAGGTGAATGTATTCAGATATTTGGGAGGGGGACGTGTCAGCGGATGGGTCTATGAAGATGAGGTGAATCATAGAATTGATGAGGGAAAAAGAGTGAGTGGTGCACCTAGGAGTCTGTGGAGACAAAGAATTTTTTTCCTTGGAGGCAAAGAGGGGAATGTAGAGAGTATAGTTTTACCAACGCTCTTATATGGGTTGTGAAGCATGGGTGATGAATGTTGCAGCGAGGAGAAGGTGGAGGCATTGGAGATGTCATGTCTGAGGGCAATGTGTGGTGTGAATATAATGCAGAGAATTCGTATTTTGGGAAAGTTAGGAGGGGTGCTGGATTACCAAAAACTGTTGCCCAGGGGGCTGAGGAAGGGTTGTTGGGGTGGTTCGGACATGTAGAGAGAAGGGGAAGCGAAACAGAATGACTTCAGGAGTGTATCAGTCTGTAGTGGGAAAGGAAGGCGGGGTAGGGGTGGGCCTGGAAAGGTTGGAGAGAGGGGGTAAAGGAGGTTTTGTGTCGAGGGGCTTGGATTTCCCAGCAGGCATGCGTGAGCGTGTTTGATAGGAGTGAATGGAGACAAATGGTTTTTAATACTAGACGTGCTGTTGGAGTGTGAGCAAAGTAACATTTATGAAGGGGTTCAGGGAAACCGGCAGGCTGGACTTGAGTCCTGGAGATGGGAAGTACAGTGCCTGCACTCTGAAGGAGGGGTGTTAATGTTGCAGTTTAAAAACTGTAGTGTAAAGCACCCTTCTGGCAAGACAGTGATGGAGTGAATGATGGTGAAAGTTTTTTCTTTATCGGGGCACCCTGCCTTGGTGGGAATCGGCCAGTGTGATAATAAAAAAAAAAAATAAAGAAGAAACAATTAGCAGGAGATAGTCTTATGCAGTCGATTATTTGTGAAAAAGCTAGACAGTTGCATGACGATCTTGTAAAGAAATTGCCTGCAACGAGTACTGATATTGGTGAATTTAAGGCCAGCATAGGCTGGTTTGAGAGATTTAAAAACCGTAGTGGCATACACAGTGTGATAAGGCATGGCGAGGCTGCCAGTTCAGACAAAATTGCAGCTACAAAATTCATAAGTGAATTCAAGGAGTACATAGAGGCTGGAGGACTGAAACCTGAGCAAGTGTTCAATTGTTATGAAACAGACCTCTTTTGGAGGGAAATGTCAAAGAGGACCTACATTACTCAGGAGGAAAAGGGACTGCCAGGACACAAGCCTATGAAAGACAGGCTGACGCTCATGTTCTGTGCTAATGCTAGTGGGGATTGCAAAGCGAAGCCGTTACTAGTGTACCATTCTGAAAATCCCAGAGTGTTCAGAAAAAACAATGTTATGAAGAGTAAATTGTGTGTGTTTTGGAGATCTAATAATAAGGCATGGGTTACTAGTGTGGCCCTAGTGTGAAGAATTACCTCCTGGAAAAGAAATTGGATCTCAAGTGCCTCCTGCTAATGGACAATGCACCTGCTCATCCTCCAAACGTGGATGACCTAATTTGGAGGAGTTTGGGTTCATCAAGTAAAAGTTCGTGCCCCTAATACCACTCCCCTCCTCCAGCCCATGGACCAGCAGGTCATTTCAAACTTTAAAAAACTCTACCCAAGCAGTGTTTCAAAGGTGCTTTAATGTGACCTCCCGACACTCACTTGACCTAAGAGAGTTTTGGAAAGATCACTTCAGCATCCCCCACTGCATAAGCCTTATAGGTAAGGCCTTGAGAGGGAGTGACTACCAGGACTTTGAACTCTTCTTGGAGAAAATTGTGGCCCCGATTGTGTCCACAAGAGGGATTTTGAAGGGTTTGGGGCTGACCTTGATGAGCCTACGACAGTTGTGAAATCTATTTTGGCATTGGGGAGTTCCATGGGGTTGGATGCGAGTTTGGAGGATGTGGAAGAGTTGGTGGAGGATCACAAAGAAGAGCTAACCACTGAGGAGCTGCAAGAGCTTCAGAAGGAAACAGCAACAGACCCCAGCTCAGAATATTGCTGCAGAGGAGGAGGAGGAAGAGAGATGGAAGAAGTTGCCTTTTTCCGAAATTAAGGGGGATTTTTGAAATGTGGGGTAAAATGGAAAGATTTATGGAGAAACATCACTCTGACAGGCTGTTGCAAGCCATGTCGGCAACATGTCAGTTGACAAAGTCTTGACCCATTTTAGGGAAGTTTTAAAGAGACACCCGAAAACAGAGCTTCTGGACAAGTATTTAGTGCCCCAGGTGTACAGTGACTCTAAAGCTGGTCTAGTGGCATTAAGAAACAGAGAAGAAAGTAACCCTAGAAAAGCACTTGGTACCTGAGGTGTTGATGGAAGGGGATTCCCCTTCCAAAAAGTAACTAATCCAATCTCTCTCCTCCTCCAGTCTTCCATAACTAAAAAGAATCGCTAATAAAGGTAAGTGTTATGCTGTTAATGTTTCATTCTCATGTCCCATTGTATTGTTTATGTACTAACCCTCTATATTACATGTAAAAAAAAATTTTGTTTTTTAATACTTCTGGGTGTCATGAAGGATTAATTGTATTTTTCATTATTTCTTATGGAGAAAATAGATTCGAAAAAACGTCAATTTCGATAATAGTCACACTTTCAAGAACGGATTAATTACAAAAAACAAGGGACCATGTATGTATATGATGCTGACAATTAACTTTTTAGTAGGTAGTAGGTTGGTAGACAGCAACCACCCAGGGACGTACTACCATCCTGCCAAGTGAGTGTTAAAACGGAAACATGTAATTGTTTTTACATGATAGTAGGATGCTGGTGCTTTTTTTTCTGTCTCATAAACATACCCAAAATTTCAGGTCGTCTTGTTACTTCTATTACATTAGGTCACACTACACATACATGTACAAGCATATATATACACACCCCTCTGGGTTTTCTTCTATTTTCTTTCTAGATTTTTGTTCTTGTTTATTTCCTCTTATCTCCATGGAGAATGGAACAGACTTTTTCCTTTCCCTAAGCCATGCATGTTGTAAGAGGCAACTAAAATGCCGGGGGCAAGGGGCTAGTAACCCCCTTTTCTTGTATAAATTACTAAATTTTAAAAAAACTTTCGTTTTTCTTTTTCGGCCACCTTGCCTTGGTGGGATATGGTTGGTTTGTTGGAAAAAAGAAATAACATTTTAAAGATACGTATATTAACATGTTACTACCAAAAAAAATTATTTATGGGGGGGGGGACTTGGAGAACTAGGGGACTTCAGCCCCCCAAACCCCCCCCCCCCGGTGCCACCCTGGTAAGTGTGGATGTGAAAGAAGAGAAGAGACTAAAGTGAGCTCCACCATGAGGTGGTGAATCATGATGCGTGCTGTGGTAATGAGTGTCTCATTCCCGGAAATACCAGCAGCTAGCAGAAGAGATTTCCATGGAACACGCTTGACCCACACACCATGTAGCAATAGGTGGCTGTACGTACTGCATGGTGTCATAGATTCCCAAACCAGACGTTACAACAACCTCCTGGACTATAAGGAAGAAATAGCAATATTTTAAATTTTAGTTTAAAAAATACTGCAATAAATAAATCAATGCTTATCCAACAATATGATACTTGCCTTAAACATTATTTACTGGTCTTGTTTGATCCAGCACCTTAACAAATACTGCAAACAAAGGATTGTGCAAAACAAAAGCATCGTGCACCTCCATTTTCTGCACCACAAATTTTGTATATTATTAATGTTATTTATTTATTTACATAATTAAGACCTCTAATAGAGTATAAAACAAATTATCATACAAACAAAACCTGCCTTTGGTGTCAAGACAAGGCTACAAGATGATACATTTTCTCACTGATTTCAAAATAAATATATTTCTTCACAGCTGCACCTTCTTTCTCTCCGTTTATTTAGTGTTATAAAATGATACTAAGAGGGTAAAGTAAGGGGGATGGATAATACATAATTACCAGATCACTACAATAATGACTAATAACATCAAATTATTGATAATGATCCTACACAACATGTAATTCCTGACAAAACACACTTAAATATCCCAAACATTTAGCCATTTCCTTTCATAAGGAGTAGACCATGAAGACTCTACCAGCAACATAGTAGACTGTCTACATGAAGACTCTACCAGCAACATAGTAGACTGTCTACATGAAGACTCTACCAGCAACATAGTAGACTGTGTACATGAAGACTCTACCAGCAACATAGTAGACTGTTACATGAAGATCTACCAGCAACATAGTAGACTATGTACATTGAAGACTCTACCAGCAACATAGTAGACTGTGTACATGAAGACTCTACCAGCAACATAGTAGACTATGTACATGAAGACTCTACCAGCAACATAGTAGACTGTACAGGGCCCGGTGGCCTGGTGGCTAAAGCTCCCGCTTCACACACGGAGGGCCCGGGTTCGATTCCCGGCGGGTGGAAACATTCGACACGTTTCCTTACACCTGTTGTCCTGTTCACCTAGCAGCAAATAGGTACCTGGGTGTTAGTCGACTGGTGTGGGTCGCATCCTGGGGGACAAGATTAAGGACCCCAATGGAAATAAGTTAGACAGTCCTCGATGACGCACTGACTTTCTTGGGTTATCCTGGGTGGCTAACCCTCCGGGGTTAAAAATCCGAACGAAATCTTATCTTATCTTATCTTATCTTGTCTACATGAAGACTCTACCAGCAACATAGTAGACTGTACATGAAGACTCTACCAGCAACATAGTAGACTGTGTACATGAAGACTCTACCAGCAACATAGTAGACTATGTACATGAAGACTCTTTCAGCAACATAGTAGACTGTCTACATGAAGACTCTACCAGCAACATAGTAGGGCTGTCTACATGAAGACTCTACCAGCAAACATAGTAGACTATGTACATGAGACTCCCACCAGCAACATAGTAGACTGTGTACATGAAGACTCTACCAGCAACATAGTAGACTATGTACATGAAGACTCTACCAGCAACATAGTAGACTGTCTACATGAAGACTCTACTAGCAACATAGTAGACTGTCTACATGAAAACTCTACCAGCAACATAGTAGACTGTGTACATGAAGACTCTACCAGCAACATAGTAGACTATGTACATGAAGACTCTACTAGCAACCTAGTGACTGTGTACATGAAAACTCTACCGCAAAAATAGTAGAATTGTACAATAAAACTCTACCAAAAACATAGTAGACTGTGTACATGAAGACTCTACTAGCAACATAGTAGACTGTGTACATGAAGACTCTACCAGCAACATAGTAACTGAGAATAAGACACATGTGCAACATCTGGGTATCTTTATTGTAGACGTTTCGCCATCCAGTGGCTTTATCAATACAAATTCCAGGACCTAACTTGAAGACAGTAGAACTATGTACAGAAGATGAGGTAATCAGTCCCTCAACCTAGGAGTAGGTGCGAACAGCACCATAGTCGTGGAGATTCTGAAGCAGAAGAAAGAATCCTGGCGCTTATATAGTAACGTCAGGTGAAGCAGACGAGGGCAAATTCACTGGTGGGCGGGATTCCCCAGTGGAAGTAGGTCCTTCTCCACGACTATGGTGCTGTTCGCACCTACTCCTAGGTTGAGGGACTGATTACCTCATCTTCTGTACATAGTTCTACTGTCTTCAAGTTATGTCCTGGAATTTGTATTGATAAAGCCACTGGATGGCGAAACGTCTACAATAAAGATACCCAGATGTTGCACATGTGTCTTATTCTCATCTTGTCGGTATTATATACCATTCGTACACAACTTGTCAGACACTGCAACATCATGGAATCTTAATTCTGAGGACATGTACATAACCTTCACAACTACGACAACTACTACTACTACAACTAACCCATCTCTTTGGGAAGGACCTACTTCCACTGGGGAATCCCGCCCACCAGTGAATTTGCCCTCGTCTGCTTCACCTGACGTTTCTATATAAGCGCCAGGATTCTTTCTTCTGCTTCAGAATCTCCACGACTATGGTGCTGTTCGCACCTACTCCTAGGTTGAGGGACTGATTACCTCATCTTCTGTACATAGTTCTACTGTCTTCAAGTTATGTCCTGGAATTTGTATTGATAAAGCCACTGGATGGCGAAACGTCTACAATAAAGATACCCAGATGTTGCACATGTGTCTTATTCTCATCTTGTCGGTATTATATACCATTCGTACACAACATAGTAACTGGTCAATACACCCTGAATACAAACCTGTTAATGTACATGTGAATGGGCTTCTTGGTATTTTCTGACTGCAGGAAAAGAAGCTGCGCAATAACCAAACTTGATATGTTATCATCTATCTGAAATAAAATATGTATTAAAAAAACAAGTACCAGTATAAACTCATAAATACCAACTTCATAAACACAAAAAATTACAGAGACCTCTCAAAACAGACTAACAGAAGGGATTGTCCAAGTGTCCATTAAATCAGAGTAATATTAATAAGAGAAAGAAATGTAACAAAATAATGCACTGTACACCTAATATAGTACTGTACACACAACTTACAAGTACAATAGGGGCCCACTTATACGATAGGTTAGGTTACAGCCGGAAAGCGGAGACATCGCCAGAAAGCAGAACGCCATTTTTTCCACTTATAAATGCATATAAATGCCAGATAAGAAGTTTACAGTAACATATATTAAGTTAGCAATAGAATTAGGTAATAAAAACAATAAAAAGTAAAATACACACATAGTACACTCATTACTTACATTAAAATATTTGTAGTCTTAATGTAGGGTGAGAGGTGAGTACAGTGGACCCTCAACCAACGGCTTTAATCAGTTCCAGAGAGCTAGCCTTTAGTCGAATTAGCAGTTATTCAAATTAATTTTCCCCATAAGAAATAAAGTGGACCCCCGCCTTACGATGACATCACGTTATGTTAAATCCACCAAACGATACATTTTAATGCAAAATTTTTGCCTCGCCTCGAGCTAAAAAACATGTCTTATGTAATTCGTCCAGGACGCGTCCCACGTGTGGCCTCAGCACCAGTGTTTACAAGCCAGCCAGTGCGGTCGCATCTACGCATACATTCGGTACATTTCACATTATCCCAGTGTTTTTAGTGCTTGTAACTGCAAAATAAGTCACCATGGACCCCAAGAAAGCTTCCAGTGCCCTCCCTGTGGTAGCAAGGGTGAGAATTAGTATGGAATTGAAAAAGAGATTAAGGAAAAGTGTGCAAAGTGGGTTGAATTGCAAACCTTTATGGATGAAAATCACCCTCACACAGCTATTGCAAACCATGCTGGTGACTATTACAATGACAATGTTGTGAACCACTTTAGACAAATCATAAAGGAACGATAGGTACAGAGCTCTATGGACAGATATGTTGTGTGACAGAGGTCCAGTGACTCTCAAGCTGGTCCTAGTGGCATTAAAAGAAGAAGGGAAGTAACCCCGGAAAAGGGATTGATACCTCAAGTCCTACTGGAAGGGGATTCCCCTTGTAAACAATAACAACTTCCACACTCTCCCCTCCTCCCATCCCATCAATCATCATCAGATCTTCAATAAAGATAAGTGTCATGTATTCTATTCTTAGTAGAGTATTAACTGTGCATGTCTTCTTCAGTGTGGTAAAAAAATTTGTTTTTTTCATACTTTGGGGTGTCTTGCACAGATTAATTTGATTTCCATTATTTCTTATAGAGAAAATTAATTCGCCTTACGATAATTTCGGCATACGATGAGCTCTCAGGAACAGATTAATATCGTAAGGCGGGGGTCCACTGTAATGGAAATCCAATTAATTCGTTCCAGACAGCCAAAAGCACTAAAAAAAATAATTTTTTTCTACATGAAATATACATTTCCCTACACAGAAAACAATGAGACATGCCCAATACATGCATATATAAATACTAAAATGACACTTAACTTTATTGAAGAGTATTGATGAGTGATAAGACACTGTTTTTCTTGAACACTCTGAGATTTTCAGAGTGATATATGAGTAAAGGCTTCACTTTGCAATCCCCACTAGCATTACAACAAAACATGAGAGCTAGCCTGTCTTTCATAGGCTTGTGTCCTGGAAGTACCTTTTCCTCCTGAGTAATGAGTAATGTAGGTCCTGTTTGGCATTTTCGTCCAGAACAGGCCTGTTTCATCACAAACACTTGTTGGGGTTGGAATTTTCAGCTTCACACAGTGCATGCCATTAATCTCTCAAGCCAACCTTCGCTGGCCTTAAATTCACCAATATGAGCACTAGTTCCAGGCATTTTTTCCTGTTCACCTGGGTGTTAGTCGACTGGTGTGGGTCACATCCTAGGGGACAAGACTAAGGACCCCAATGGAAATAAGTTAGACAGTCCTCGATGATGCACTGACTTTCTTGGGTTATCCTGGGTGGCTAACCCTCTGGGGTTAATTGTTTCTCAGTAATCTTGATCAGCCACACCAACAACAGTCTCTCCACATCTTCAAGCAGTACAGCTGACCATGGTGCAGCAGCAGCTGACGGTGGTGCGGCAACAGCTGACGGTAGTGCAGCAGCAGCAGCAACAGCAGCAGCTGACCGTGGTACGACAGTATCTCGATAGTATTTCTCACCCTTTTTACCACAGGGTTAGCACTAGAAGCTTTCTTGAGGCCCATGGTGGCTTATTTAGCGGTTACAAGCACTGAAAACACTGGAATAATACAAAATATATCGCAGGTACACACGGAATCGACTGCAACAGCTTGTAAACATTGGCACACCGAGTCTTAAGAGTGGCTGGGCCCGCTCAGGTCATGCTCTGGCCGCATGGACACATTTGGGACAAAAGCCATTAGATGAGTTTTTCGCTGTTGGTAGAGCCAATATTTTTATGCCAAAGAGCGCCGTTAGACGAATTTGGCGTTAGTCGATGCCGTCGTTGGTCAGGGGTCCACTGCAGTAAGAGGGCAGATGTGGTAGTCAGGTGTGGTAGGTATAACCACCCCACCCGCACATAATAAACACTGAAAGCGCCCTAGACCGATAAAATGCATATACAGTATGCTCATTATTTACTTTAAAATATTTAGTCTTAATGTAGGGTGAGAGGTGATTAAACAAGATAAAATGAATAAATGAGAGAACGAGTAAATGTGAGAGGACAGAGACACAGAGTCTGTAAACAAGCAGATGAACGCGTCTTGTTATGGTTGATACACATTCATTTCCATGTTTGTGAAACTTATAGCATAATACAAACGCCTTACATTGTGTACAAGTAAAATAGATAAAGAGCAACACTCCCATTCTCATGTAACACACCAAGTTTAGAATGAATGATGCTCTGGGTGAAGGCATACGAAAGGAATAATTTTCTACAATTACTCCAGTAATACTATTGTGTATGCATTTTCTTCAGATCTGAACTATAAAAAATGTTATTCTTTCTGACACTCTGACAAGACTGGAAAAACTCTCATATTTATGTTAATTTATTCTACTGTGGAGTATATTTACCATGTTTATATGTTACATAGCATATTTATTATATAATTTTGAAACAATATCATAAACACTGTGTAAAATTAACTTAACACAGTTCAGTTTGCAAGAAGGTAAAAAATTTGGAGCATCACCCGCGGGATATTTCCCTAGCTCAGGTGGCTGCCTAGCTGTGGGTGAGACCACTGACTCCAGTTTGTACAATTAATCCTTTGACTGTTTCGGTCATATATATATACGTCTTACAAGCCACCGTGTTTGACGTATTAATACACAAATTCTAGCGGCTTTAAATCAAGCAGGACAAAGCTGGTAGGCCCACATGTGAGAGAATGGGTCTCCATGGTCAGTGTGCACCATATAAAAAAAATCGGGGAGCCAGTGGTACACTGTGGGAATGCCATTTCAGTAGTCCTTATTCAGCATGCCTAGTGGTAAGAAATATGTGACTCCGCAGCAAATCTGGGACTCTACTCTTCCCAAGTGATGCTCTAACACAGATGGAAGTGTCAGTAAGATCAATTTCATGGTTATGAGGAGTTTGTGACCAAAAGCAATGCCAAGGATACCAGAAGAATAAAAGGAGAATGAGAGGGAGAGAATAAGAGGATGAGAGAGATAATGAGGGAGAGATGAGAGAGAATGAATGAGAGAGAGAATGAAAGAGAATGAGAGAATGAGGGAGAGAATGAGAGAGACAGATAATAAGGTAGTAGGCTGGAGAGGAAGCCAGCATCCGACCCCACTGTTTTGACAGGTGGTAGGGGGAGTGAGTAATGAGACAATATGTCATTTTGACAGCTGCTGAACCCTGACTCAGAACAATTAGAAGTTCACACACTCACTCACAACACAAGCTTGCTGAAGATAATAGCAGTTATATGAAAGTGTCCAGTGACTATATATGTGTATATACACCTACCATCTGACTTACGACTGAGTTCGGTTCTGAGAAACCGGTCGTAAGTCAAAATGGTCGTAAGTCAAACTTTACTACTGAATATCAACAAAACATTTTTGTAATGACTTTATTTTATTGTTTTATTTTGGTATTTCATGTTTTACTTTACTTTTTATGTTGTTAGTACTGTATTTTATACTGTAAGGTTTAGGATAAACACTGTGTACAACACAAATAGTTGTTTATTTCCCAGAAATTTGGCATAAAAAACACGGTCGTAAATCGAGTCATCGTAAGTCGAGCAGGTCGTAAGTCGGATGGTAGGTGTATATATTACAGAAACCAGAAGGAAGGAAGGAAGGAAGAAAGGAAGGCAGGAAGGAAGAAAGGACGAGATGAAAGGAAGGAAGGAAAAAAGTAAGGAAGGAAGGAAAGAAGAAGTAAGGAAGAAAGGAAGGTAGGTAGGTAGGTAGGTAGGTAGGAAAGGAAGGAAGGAAGGCAGGTAGGAAGGAACATAGGAAGGAAGGTAGGAAGGAATGCAGGAAGGTAGGAAGGAAGGAATGATGACCATTTACCTAGGATGACTACCTAACACAACTGCCTGCTAATACTTTGAAGAAAACTGCTAAGAAGAGGCGTTTTGTCTGTGCACATAAAAAAAAAAATGCCCACAAAAATGCACACACTCGTTTCATGTGTGAGGAGTGTAAAACACCATTGTGTATGAAACCATGTTTCAAAGAGTTCCACAAGCTGCAGAACTTCTAGGGACATGTCTAGTGACTGTACATTTGTATATATATTATAAAACAACAGTAATAAACAATTTTTTGTACTGCGTGTGTAAACAAGTTTTATAAACAATATATTGATAATTATGTTAGTGCGCTTATTGTGTTGTATATGAGTGTATATATGTACAGTGGTCCCTCAATTATCGTCCACAATCAGTT